TCGGGCGCCCTGGACGTGCCCAAGGCGGAGATGCTGGCGGGCAAGGGCGAGGCGGGCGCCGCGGCGGCCGAGCTCGACGAGAAGGAGAAGGCGGCCGAGGAGAAGAAGGCGGAGGGCGCCAAGGAGGGCGAGGGCGCCAAGGAGGGCGAGAAGAAGAACGGCAAGTACGAGAAGCCGCCGTTCAGCTACAACGCGCTCATCATGATGGCCATCCGGCAGAGCCCCGAGAAGCGCCTCACACTCAACGGCATCTACGAGTTCATCATGAAGAACTTCCCCTACTACCGGGAGAACAAGCAGGGCTGGCAGAACTCCATCCGCCACAACCTCTCGCTCAATAAGTGCTTCGTCAAGGTGCCCCGCCACTACGACGACCCGGGCAAGGGCAACTACTGGATGCTGGACCCGTCCAGCGACGACGTCTTCATCGGCGGCACCACGGGCAAGCTGCGCCGCCGCTCCACGACGTCGAGGGCCAAGCTGGCTTTCAAGCGCGGCGCCCGCCTCACCTCCACCGGCCTCACGTTCATGGACAGGGCGGGATCCCTGTACTGGCCCATGTCTCCCTTCCTCTCCCTGCACCACCCGCGGGCCAGCAGCACTTTGAGTTACAACGGGACCACGTCTGCCTACCCCAGCCACCCCATGCCCTACAGCTCGGTGTTGACTCAGAACTCCTTGGGGAACAACCACTCCTTTTCCACGTCTAATGGGTTAAGTGTTGATAGACTAGTCAATGGAGAGATACCTTATGCCACTCATCACCTCACAGCAGCCGCTCTGGCCGCCTCGGTGCCGTGTGGCCTGTCAGTTCCTTGCTCCGGCACCTATTCCCTAAATCCCTGCTCTGTAAACCTCCTGGCAGGACAGACGAGTTACTTTTTCCCCCACGTCCCTCACCCTTCAATGACTTCTCAAAGCAGCACTTCAATGACGGCCAGGGCAGCCTCCTCGTCCACGTCGCCGCAGGCGCCCTCCACTCTCCCCTGTGAGTCCCTAAGACCTTCCCTGCCAAGTTTCACAACGGGACTTTCCGGAGGACTTTCTGATTATTTCACACATCAAAATCAGGGGTCTTCTTCAAACCCTTTAATACATTAACATCCATGGGATCAGACTGTAAGTGAACATTTTACACACATTTGCATTGTAAATGATAATTAAAAGGAGAAAAAAAAGAAAAAGCAAAACAAAAAAAAAGTCCAGGTATTTTTTATTAAGTCCCCCATTTTCTGTACGTTTGTTCAGTCTTTAGGGTTGTTTATTATTCCACCAAGGTGAGGAGTGTCAGCAAGGTGCAATGTGGGGAGATTACATTGTAGACTATGAAGTTTGGAAGTCAAAATTATAGTAGAATGTGTATCTAAATAGTGACTGCTTTTGCAAGTTTTATTCAAATATGATAAGTCCATCACTTAAAGCCGCCAGATTCTCCATGTTTGCAGTATTATAAGTTATCATGGATATGTCGGTGGGTGCAGATCTTGAAAAGAAACCACTAAATTTATGAAAAGCATTAAAAACTTAAAATGTAATTTGTATTTAAGAAGAAGTAATAGTAAAAAAAAAAAGAGTGCCCAAGAACTATGTTTTGGCCATTTATTATTTTGTCCTTCTCTTTAATTAACTGCTTTCCTGGGTTTCTTTTTCTTTCTTTCTTTCATTTTTTTTTAAATTTGTTTGTTGGTTTGTTTACTTTTTTTAGACCAAAGATTGGGTTTTAGAAAATGCACTCAGTGTACGAAGTAATTTAAGAACAGCAACATTATTTCAGTTTGCAGCACTGCCCGTTCAAATGAATCAGAAGGGGACAAAATTAATGATTGCCTTCAGTTTGTGTTGTGTATATTTTGATGTATGTGGTCACTAACAGGTCACCTTTATTTTTTTTCTAAATGTAGTGAAATGTTAATACCTATTGTACTTATAGGTAAACCTTGCAAATATGTAACCTGTGTTGCGCAGATGCCGCATAAATTTGAGTGATTGTTAATGTCGTCTTAAAATTTCTTGATTGTGATACTGTGGTCATATGCCCGTGTTTGTCACTTACAAAAATGTTTACTATGGACACACAGAAATAAAAAAATAGGCTAAATTCATATATACTTCATAGTTTTTTTGTCTCTTTCATTAACTAAAATTAATATGCCAGAGGCTTTAAAGTTTTAGGGAGATCTGAGCACTACTTATTACAGTAGATGACCATTTTTCACATGCTCCTCCCCACCCCCCCAAATTCGCTTTGCAGTTAAGCAACATATTGACAAATGTATAGGCGCAGGGCATGGCACGGCACGGCCACTGCTGTGATGTCCGTTTTGGGGCAGGATGCTCCTTCACGTCTGCTTGAAAACTTGTAGCACGAGGTAGGGTTTCTTACTAAAACCTATGTCTTAAATTAAAGATGCTTAAAATCGCGTGCATACATATATATGCGTATGTATATGTACACACATGAGAGGAGATGAATGTACATAATTATGTAAATACGCCTTACTCTTTCAATCTTTGATTCAAAAAATAATCCTTCTGAGATAAGTTAATTTTGACTGTATAATAATTGAAAATATATCAGCTATAAGTGTGTGTGTGTGTATACATATTTGCATTCGTATAATTACTTGATCAAGGTTAGGTAGCTATGATACGTCTGTGTATTAAATATGATCCTAATCTTAAAGAAGCGCTGTTCTGGAAGTAGCTATATTACCTATATTTCCATACTTCTAATGCTGCAAACACTTTGGCTTTAAATATTGTAAAAGTAGCTGTAGTTCGCAGTTAGAGCCCTTCCCCTCTACCCCTTCTGCCCTCTGGACGACGAAGGGGGATATTTGGGATATTTGGGATGAAGCGAAGGGGCAACACATTACAGTGAAGTATAGAAGAGGGAGGAGGGGGAGGCTGGGGTGTCACGTGACCCCGTGGCTTACATACCAGTGTTTAAACGTTTTCGAGGGAAAAAAAAAAAAAAAAGTATATATACATGTGCGGGGATGCACTCAGATTTAAAGTTTGGACCTGAATCTCTTTTCTGCTCTGTTTTCCCATGGCAATACGTACCAAAGGCCACTAACCTATAGAAACGTAAGTACGTGTTTTTCGTTGCCCGGCGAATCAAGCCATTAGCTCTAAGGGGGCAATGCGACGCCTCATTTTAAGAAGCCTTTAATCATAAAAAAGAATTGGGATGAGTTTAGGGAACCTTATAAAAACTGCAACCCTTTAAAATAATTAGAAAACTTGTGCGAAAGATTTAGGAACTAATTGGATCCTGCAGTGAGTCCGCAGAGGACAAGTTGTTCATTTGTTACATTTGTATGGTCTGAACTGCGCTCTGCAGCAATGCAATAAGCCGACGACTGCTCACAATAGGCCCAATGAAAAATAATCTCCAGCCCGGAGATGTTATCGCAAACACTTTAAAGAGTTGTTTAAGAGTTTCTTTAAAGAAAGACAGAAAAGAGGAAGAAAAAGAAAGGCTGGGGGGGAAAAAAAAAGGAAAAAAAAAAAAAAAAAAAAAAAGATAGTGCCAGGGGTGAAAAAAAAAAGCGCAATAGCAAATCTGAATCCTTGAAAGCAGAATATTTACCGGGCTAGGAAAAAAAATATGAGGAGTGAGTGAGATTTTCAGAAAATAAGTAATAAATAAACAGATGCAAGAAAATCTGCAGGGAAGAGAGAGGAGCGAAAGGTTATGGATGAGAGATGGGACACCCAGCTCTGCGGTGTGTGGAGGAGAAGGAGAGAAATCTCTGATATTCTTGGCTTTCACTCTTACTTCTGCGATTCAAAATTAATCATCATTATGAGAAAAAAAAAATCGCTTTGTTTGGAGAAGAGGAGATGATAGGACCACTTGGAAGAGCCTGCCCTCCCCCAGGCTCTCCGCTCCATTGTCCTTAAAATAAATGATCGCACGAACTAGAAACTAAAACCCCACCGAAACAAGCCCTTCGGAAATAATAAAATAGGTGTGATTTAACCTCGGAAAGTGTCGAGTCCCCGCTCTGTATACTTGCACCAAAGGAAATTAAAAGAATGGCATCTGCTGCAGCTGACAAAGGAAATAATTTATTATTTGCCACTTGCAATTGGCTGTATAGTGTGGGAAATCCAATAGCACATACTTAAAGTATTATTTAGTTCATTCTGTTAAAAATAAAATAAAAAGCGCCGATAGTGTACTAAGGAAGGAAAACGAGAAGTGAGTTTGAAGGAAAGCACAATCTCGCCATGTCAGAGTTTTGCCTTGGCTAATAAGCATTAATTAGGTAAGCGTGATGCATAATAACTCCTGAGAAGGGTAGCCCTGGTGCTGGCTCTGCAGAGGAGCGGGCAGCGCTTAGGCGAGCGCTCGGTCCTAGTGCTCCGCGTTAGGCTCAGAGCAGCCAAGCGCTGCCTGGGAGTTCAGGTGCCGCAGACTTTTCTCTCTTCCCCTTACCCTGGGGGAAGGGATGATTGTTAAGCTGCTAATTTATTCGAGATTCACATTTCCACGCGCATATTACCTGCAATGAGGTTGTCTTTAGGAAGAAAAAAAAAGAAAAAAAGAAAAAAAAAAAAGCTAAAGTTGTCACAGATCGTAACAGGATTAAAGGCCCAAATGTGTCTTTACCTCGCCTGCTCCCCAGACAGAGAAACCCTTTTGTTCACTGAGGATGTCTTCTAGGCTAGTATTTACATGGAGTTGTTTGGTACAGAATGTGAGCTTTTTTTTCCCCTTCATTTTCTTTTTTTTTCTTTTTCTTTTTTTTCCTTTTTTTTCTCTCTCTCTTTTTTTTTATTATTGTATTCAGTCGAGCAATAATTATCTTATCTGGCATTTGTTTCCACGGTGTTTTTCTATGTAAAACCTCAAGCAAAGCTTTTAGGAAATTTAATGAATTTTATTATATATTTTTAGCGTGTTAAAGTACCTGAGTGTCATTTCTCTAGAACTTACCGTGTTTCTGCGGGGCGGGTGGTCTTTACGAAATGAAGAAACTATTGTTATTTTCCTGGTTGGTATTTGAGGTGATTAACGTTGCTCGCATATATCATAGGAGAACAAATCTGTTAATCAAGAAGCTTCCGATTCCGATTTTAAGTTTGCCTTACGAGAAAAAAATGTGTGAGCAGTAATAAACTGTAACTCGAATCCACAATCGGATATTTACACAACTTATTTCTTGGACCTATTTTAAATATTTTTCATTTGTTTCAGTAAAACGATACTCGTTGTGTGAAATGCATTCTTACGGAAGGACTTAAAATAAAATGAGTAATAATATATTTTGCCTTAAATGGCACAAAATGGTGTTTGAGGGAGTGATATTTTTAATCCGATGCTTGAAAAGAAATAGTTTTACTGAGACGTCGTTTTGCTCTTTATAACTCCTTTTGACGATTTATGTCAGAAATTATGATTCAGGTATACACCCCCTCACCACTTGTGTTAATATGAGGTCTCAAACCCCACGTATTCATTACTCGCTCAGGCAAAACTCCCACTGAACTCCAGTTACGTTTTGACTGAACTACATCAGAGTACTGCTTGGGAAATGGTGATAAATAAGGCTCACTGTTATTTTTAGTGATCATATTCTTTTACCTTTCGTATGTTCCTTTATGATGGGGGGAAAAAAAAGTCTGTTTATATATACTCGCTGCTATACTCTTAATTGTATAGTCGCGAGTAACTCGCTCCCCCAAGAAAGAAAAATATATATATCTATGTGCACAGACGTATTATATGGCTGCAGAATTCAACGGATGGAAATATATGTATACACATACAGTCACACACAGAACCCTGCACCACTTTCTGTAGCAGCTTCTTGTGAGACTGGTGCATAGGGTTGTTCTTGCTTTGAATACTTCTCTTTTCCCCCTGTTGTGAATGTGCCTTGGTAAATGGGTCAAAAAGTGGTGGAGAAACTGGGTTAGCGAGAGGTGAAGGTGAAGATCATTAGAGGTTTTAGGGCAGGCTGTGGCTGTTTTGCTGGGTTCGTGTGACTGTGCCCAGAGGGCGGAGTTCCTGCACATTCCTACCTCACCGGAGAACCTGCCCTCAACTCCACTGCAGCTACTCCAGAGAGATGGGACCCTCCAGAGAAACCTGCCCTCCAGCCAGCCTAGGTAGGTGCTTCCAAGGGAACCTTCCCTGCTCCTTCCCTCGGTGCGCAGGTCCGTGTGAAGTGGGCGAACGGAGACGACGGACAGACAGACAGACCTCTGCCTAAGCGCGCCGTTCCCCCGTGCCCGATAAGCAGATCGCCCCTGTCTCCGAGGCAGTTTCCAAGCACCAGTTACACTAGGACTGGGGGTGCCTAATGTTAGTTTTTTTTTTTTTTTTTCCTGTCTCTTCCTTAAAGTGTTCCCTCCCCCGGCCTCCCCCTCCCCCTCAGGCTCTTTCCTTTAGGATCGGTAAGTTGGAAGTTTCTTCGCCGCTTTATCTGTTCTCACGCTTTACCTCCAGATTTTATTTTCTTTTTATTGCTTAAACGCTCGTTGGGCTTTCTACTTTCGCGCTAAAGCCCGGGAAAGTCGCACGGGTACAATATTGTGTCTGTCTTTTTTAAGATGCCGCGAGGAACAGCCTCTACCTGCGAGGACGGCGCCCGACGGCACCCGGCGATGGGATACGGCATCGGCGGCGGGGGGGGGCGGGGTTT